CCTCCCCCCAACCTCCCCCCCCGAGGGAAGCTGGCACATGCCTCCCGCAGCACAGCCAAACCTCTGCAGGTGCCTGTCTCCTGCTCTCCCCCCCGGCAGGGCCGAGCTGCTGTAGGAGCCTACATCGGGGCCAACCCCCACAGCACAGGGAAACCCCTGCGCTCGACTCACCCCTCCAGCACAGGGAAGCCACAACACTCCTCCTCTGGGGCCAACACCCCCTCCCCTAGCACATTACAGCTATGGGAAGGGAGCAGCCAGCACACTTCTGGAACCCCCAGAAGTGACACGGGCTTCACACAGGGCTTCCATCCACCCCAGGGGAAGCTGGCACTACACTAGAGGTAGGTAGTGGGGCATCTCAGCGTGGTGGAAAATGGAGGGTGGGGGTGCCCGAACGCCTCACGATCGACTGGTCGATGCCCTGTGATCGACAGGTTGCTGACCATGAAGTTACATGTTTATATTAGGGATGTCAATGTGTAGACAGCTACACGATTAACTGATAAAAGGATTAACCAATAAGCCTAGGCTTGACTACATGCATTCTGCCCCATTGCTGCCTCTGTATCAGAGGCAGCATTGGGAGGAGGAGGGCAGGAGCTGGTGCCTATGGGGAACTGACTTAAGCCAGCTCCCCATGAACACCAGATCCACCTGCCCCCTCTCAGCCCCGCACTGCTGTCTCTGATAGAAGTTGCAGTATGGAGAGCGAGGGGGGCAGACAGAAGCCAATAAATGCAAATAGCTCGCTTTCAAGCTGGCTCTCCATGCGTGCCAGCTCCGTAGACCCACCTGCCCGCCCATCCCTTGCGGTCTTCTACAGAGGCAGGGGGGAGTGAAGGGGGAAGAGGGGAGTAGGAAGGAGCAGTGGTGGGAAGCAGGGGAGGCTGCCAGACTAAAAGTCAAACCCTGAGTTCTGAGATCACTTGCTTTGATAAGAATCTAAGATACCATTGTTTAAATAATTTCTAATGATTAAGATTATATTTTGTTAATACAAGCAGCCTGAGTAACTTAAATTTGGATCAACAGTTATAACTCAAGACAATTAAGGTAGTGGAACACCAACAGAAGCTTTGAGCTTTAGAAAATATGCACAGTACTGAAGAGTAGCATTTTGTTCTCTCCTGAAACTCAGTCTGTGCTACATTAACAAGCTTCCAATTTTAAACCTACAAGCCTAACCTAGGTGGCTCCCAGCCAGCAGCCCAGGGAACCTCAGGCAGGCTTCCTGCCTGCTGCAGCCCCACAAATGGCTGGCTGCTCCACTTGAAGCTTTGCTTTACAGCCAATGGGAGCGGAGAGATTGTGATGGGGTGGGCAAAGCATGCGAAGCCACCTCAGAGCATGGGGCAGAACAGGTAGGCACTCTGAATGGCATGGAGCTGATCCCTGCCTGAGGGTTCCAGTGGGGAAGGCCAGATCCAGGTGTCAAAAAGATGCACAGGGAAGATAGGTATGAGGTTCATGGGGAGGCAGATCCCTGGCCTATAGAAAGGGTGGGGAACCTAAGACAGAGAGGCTGGATGCAGCCCCTGGGCTGCCTGGATCTGGCACCTAAGGCTTAGGGCCTGCCCCAGCATTGGGAAGCCTGCACTGGCACTAGCACCTGGCCACCTCCCTGTGTCCCCCTCCTCCTCCAATTGATTTTTCTATGGGTCAGCAGGACCCCAAACCAAAAGAGGTTCCTCACCCATGTCCTATGGAATGTCAACATGTAGTCTCACACAAATAAGCCTGGGCTTAACGACCACACATACTCCTTGCTGCCTGAGAGGCAGCAATGGGGGGGCACCAGGTAGTACATGCAGGAAACTGGCATTCAAACTGGCTCCCTGTATGTACCATCTGCATGGAGCCACCCCTGATCCCTGCTGCCCCTGTTGGGGTAGCAAGGGGCAGTCTGGAGCCAGTGCTCGCAGGCCAGCTTAAAAGCCAGCTCTCCACAAGCACTGGCTCCTGCTTGTCTCCAAGCCCAATGTGTAACTGCTGAAAAAAATTCAATGGTTACATGTTTACATAAACATTTGTTAACATTCCTAATCCTCTATCCTTTTGGGCTATATCACCACTTGACCTCCATTTCATCTGCTGAATGGACAAACAGTAAGAACGTTCCAAGAATGGAAGTTTATTTCAAATCTGAAGAGGGGTTTCTCTATCTCTGCAAAAAAAAAATCAAGTAGCTCTGTGGCACCTTAGAGTAACCAGAAATTACCTACTATAGGACAGACCCAACAAGGAAAGCCAAACATCACTGGTTACCCCCACAGCCCCCAGCATATTGACAATACCTAGCCTGGAAAAAGATCCTTCGGTCTCAGATGTTGGGAGACAGGCCAGTCTCTGCCTTCAGGCAGCCTCCCCGTTTCCCCCCCCCCCTCTCAATTTTAAGCACAAACACCACACCACAGACCCACTAACCCAGGAATCTATCCCTGCAAAAAGCCCCTTTGCCAACTGTCCACATATACAGGCGACTCCATCACAGGATCTAAC